AAACATCCAACGCAGAGTTTATTTGCGCCGCAGAAGTTTTCGATTTCGCAATATGTCAAACATAATCTCAAGATAGATCAAACAAACACACGTACACGCACATACGTTCGTATGTGTTTTGTAATTTATAACAAATTTATGCTTGACTATCGGTTGGATGCTACTAACGGGAGGTAGGTGCTCGATCCAAATTTCCGCCGTCCCCAACGTAAATAAATGTATAAGATGTGGATGCGCTACCAGCCAGTCGGCTGAATGGATTCGGAATTGCGAAAGAGATTTACTTCTGGCCTTTGACTCATTTCATCTCGCCCAACATTCCAAATACTCTCACTCGACTCTGTATTTGTTATCGGCGACATAATTCATATTTAATAGCTAGCTCAGTGCACGCGAACCGGCTCAATTAAGCCGGGTTCTCGGGTGGTTACTGCTCTTTTTTTCATCTCTCTCGTGCTTCTGTTTTTACGCCAGTTGCTATGTACTAGCAAATTAGATGCGACGACCGAAGTGCAGAGATAAAGAAAACGGAAAAATTCCGTTATTGTCCCGTCCTCCCATATGTCAACGTACCTATTGCATATCGCATATAAATTGATCATGAATAATTATGTAAAGTATGTGAGTGTTTCGGTTGCGTCAATGACCGTTAACGGATTTGAACGGACTGAAAGAGCGAAATGCTAGGCAAAAATGTAGACCATCCACCAAAATTGTAGATCGAATCCAGATTACATAAGCATGAATGATAATAAATTCATGGAATAAACAATTAAAGTGTGCGCATTAATTATGTCATCGTACCCGTTCATATGTATTTTATTCCTGGCTATGAAGAAATGAGTAGAATTTTCCTCTTTGATGGTGTTTTCGACCGTGTTCGATAAATCCATTGGACGCACAATGCATAATGAACCAAAATATCAATCAATTCCCAATACTTGGCCGAGTATTATATCTGCCATCAGAATAATGACAGTCAACAGTGGCACATCATAGCAACATTCGCTCGCAATTAAATATACTTCATAATTTGTGTTCGTGCTCTTTAATTCGTCGATCAAAATTTCAAGCGTTTTTAATGCAATCAATGGCAAACCTCAATAATTCAGTCGGTGGCAGTGTTTTAAATGACGCGTTTCTCATTAGGCATACGCCCGTCCTTATGGTAATTCAAGTCATCGCAAGAAAATTCGATTATCCCTCTATAATTTCGTTTGTCGGCACGATGACTTCGTCTCTGGTACGATCCATATTTTGGTAACTTGAAATTAGCAAGAGCGCAATAATCGTTTGAACAGTCACCGATTCACAAAGCCCATATTACCGAATTAAATGAATTCAATGTCTCGATTAGACCTTTTAATGATGTCTATATTATAGCACTTTGACTAAAAATTGCCTCATTTCCATCCGATAGAGTGTGAGAAACATGATTCCGTTTTAAGTATTGAATTAACACAACGATAATAATATAGAAGAGATGGAATGCTATTAAGCACACGAAAATATATCGTAGATTCAAGATGTGGGATTCATTTATTTTTAAACTTTTATTTGTGCTTTTGTTCCGAACTGACAATGTACGTATGAATGATGAACGATGAACGATTATCAAATCAAGTTGAATGGAAGTGCTTGAGCATCGGTTTCTATGGCAAAAAAAAAGAAAACAGCGCAAAGAAATGCGGATTTTCATTGTGGAAATCGTTCGAAAGTGATTGTGCTTTGTAGAAAATTACGCACAATTTGGTGTTGACGGAAATTAATGGGAAACAATCAAACGAACCATTTGGTGTAAATCTGTTGGCAATCAATTGAAGTATTTTCGCAATAGCAAAAGAATGATGAATGCATACCAGCCTGAGACTGCTTACATTTCTTCAATAGATATTATGTGTGAAAAGTGTTGGTTTGATTCATGATGATTTCCATCCGTTTCCATTTGCCATTTTCAAATGAAACGAATGGTGTTCAATGTTCGATTCGATTGAATACAAAGCGAATGCTTGGAAAACCCGCACTGAAATCGAATCAAAGGGTCAAACACAAATGATTAAGATAGAGAAATAAAAATATATTCTGTTGACCTTTTGACTCGAATGCTTTCAACATTTCTATTTCCTCTTCGACGTTTTTTTTTGTTCCTTCTTCCACTCTAACCGCATTTGTTAAATGATTTGCTTTGAGTATTCTCACACTTTAAACAGTTGCGCCATTTTTCTCTTTTCCATTTTCCGAAATGAAGAGGATATTCTATCTCCCACTTCGATTCTGCTGAGCTAAATCAGAGTAAAAACATCAACTTCATTCGCAAAACAGCAACAACACATGAACCGAGAAAAAAAGATGTTCATCTTGTTCTTGGCCTTAATTGAATGTTCAGAGCACAAAATCCAATTGCACTTAATTTGATTCGCTTGATAATCATTTAACTGTAACTTTATTACGAATTTAAAAAAAACAACAAATAAAAGACTGCAAGAAAAAGCGAGACAGGTGGATGCAATGAACATTCATTTGAACAGCAACAAAAATTCGAAAACCAAACTGTGAGCTGATAAATAATTCGCCAAACGAGCGACACAAAACCGTTTGCTGAATTAAATTGATACCGAGTTTTATTCATATATTCAACATTGTGTTATTTTTTATCCAGACATAAGCACCATTGAATTGCACAACTGCCGAACACAAGTCGTATTAAAAGCATTGTGTATGCAGGAATTGGTTACCTATTCAACTTTGTTGCCACACGCAAAACATGCGTATAAAATTCATTTTATTGTAAATTTTTTGCTCGATAGCAACGTTTGCAGATAAAAGCGAAGGCTTTTGCGTCATATTCCATTGAATTTGGTGGAAAATACAATAGCAGCATGGCATACATAGCTGTGGGTGTTTGATTTCTGCTGCTTTTTTTCCTCACTTTTTATTTCAAAGTCAATGAAGTGCATCCAAATAATCATCATTCTTTGAAATGTCTATCAAACGTTTGTTTCATTTGCTTTCATTCGAATTTTTTGACTCATTTTCCACATTCCCACTCATATACGCGCCATGGCCAGCGGACCAATTGTGTTTGCAATGCAATCTGTTTGCTATTGATTTCAACTGAATAAATCACGCATAGAACGTTCATAACGTATTTTTCGTCAAAAATGCTCTAGTTTTGAATTCAAAGCATACATTTGTGAAGGGGTAGAAATAAATCCATATTTAGTTTCAATCATGTGACATGATTCATATCAGCGCCGTATTTTGTAAAGAAGAACATTGTTCAAAGGCTCTTTGTAGAATATATCATTAATACTTTTGTCTATTTGTTTTCCCATTTCATTCGGTGAACGTGTAACGTGGGTTTTTGTGCCGTTTGGCCATTGATTTTTTGCTCAAAAGCCGCCCTGAGTTCGAAAAACTGGATATATTTGGAACATTCATGCCAGCCTTTGGCCAAATTTTCAATCAGGTGCATGACGAAACAAATTAAATGGCGGTGGCAAATATTTTGGCTACATTCTCGGAATCCAACGAGTCGGATTGGTTTCATGTACCATCGCAAAATCCCTAAGCAATGACGTTCAATTTTTTCCAAGTCCTCCAAAAATACAACAAACCTTTTTTGTGGCGAAAATGTTCCGTGAATAGATTTGACTGGATGAAATTTTCAAGGATTAGGAGAAATTCTGTGGAAAATGTTCTACCTTTTCTCCACAGTAAATATTAATTAGCTCGCTTAAAAAATCGAATTTTCTACACAAATTTCACCAGAAACTTATCAATGACAGCGTCACGCTTTGCCATTCCTATCGAGAACAAAATTTGGAATTTCGCGATTTTTTTTGTGTGATGTTTTTGCTTTATTCGTTTCCTTGGTGATTCTCAGCAAAATGCAAGAGAAAACTCTCTGGAAGAAATGGCATATAAAAAGACTTGCCTTGTCACATCCTTCTATCATTCTGCCTATTAAGCATATAAAATGTTCTTTTTTTCGTTTCATTTTCTCTTTCGTACTGCTGCCGATGCTTGTTGTTGTTATACATTTCAACGGAAGCAGGCACGTTCGTATTACGATCTCGTTGTGTGGAGTTTTCTTGTTAACCTTCTGTCTATTAGTTTGATATTCTAGTAAGTTTCGTCTCCCTTTATCCTTTTATTGAACGACGAGAAAACAAACTGAATGAAAAAAAACTTTGTTTTCACTTGAACTCGTTACATATTCTAATTCACATGTATTCTCTGTGTGATGGCGTGAGCAAAAAGTAACAGTAGACATTTGCAAAGGGTCTGTGTTTTTATACCAATTTGACTTTCGATGCCATGAAACAACACGTTCTGTATTTTTTTACTTAGCATTGGCTTCGAGTGTTTGTGTGTGTGTGTGTGTGCGTTTTGACGCATTTCACTTTTTCAACCGAACCCTCAATGTCATTTCGAAGGCGCTATTCGACGCAAGGATTCATACCGCATAAATTTTATTTGCAATTGAATATGATTGAACATTTTGCTAAAGAAACAAACATAATTTCGCCATTTCCATAAATCATATCCATTCTTTTAAAAGAATGAAAAGAGTGTTGCTTTTTTCTTCACTCGGTGTTGGCAGTTTTGATACATTGTTTCAACATTGTGAAATGTATTCATTGCATAAATATGTAAACCCGTGTGTTTTATTAGATTTCTTGGAATTTTTTTCTGGCTGTTGACAAAAATAAATAAATAAAATGAATTCAATGAAATTCTTTTTGTGTAAATTGGCCCCTTTTTTTCGAGGATTCGTTTTTTCCTAAGAAAAACCATTGATCCATTGTAAATTAATGTGAAGCATTGAAACGTATTTCTTTTAAACGAAAATTATATCATTCGAAACAAAAATGTTTCCATGTGTTTTTGTGTCGTGGCATAACAAGTGAAAAACTTTTGACTTTTCGAAGATTTATTGGCCCAAAGAGACCTAATCAAAAGCGAAGAAGAAAAAATTGGGATTGAAAATCACTTACCTAAATAAGATGAAACCAATCGATGTCACAGCAGCTCGTCGCACGTCATCATTTACATCCGAAACCTGAGAGAAAGTTCAAAAGAAGAGAGTGAGCGAGAAAACAAATACCATTTGAATACATTCCACCTATATAAAGTTAGTGCTTCGATCGAATCAAAGTCAAAATACTTTGAGCAATCATCAAAGCTTGCCAAACTCCCTTTGGGTCAAAAGTCAAAGTTTTCCAATCTCTCAACGAGGATGCATCACAAGATCAATGCGAAATGTTTCTTCTTTACCAAGTTATAACATGTTCATATATTATTTTTGGCGCCTTCTTTGAATTTTACAGCGCAAAATTTCACATTCCATCGACCGGCTAGAACTATTTAGAAACACTTGACCTTTGATGTCTCGGTTTATAGAAATTCGTGTGTTTTTGGCAGGTGGATTTTAAATACTTACGGCAATATGCAAAAGTTTTCGGATGGCTTTGTTGCTGCCAGTACCGCAGTATGCCATGGCCAGCGTGTAACATCCCGATCTGCGCAATACTGGATCTTTATCCGTTGTCAAACTGGTTACCAATGGATCGGCTTCTTCCAAACGAGCGTACATAGTGAACGCAATTCCAACGGCCAAACCGCGCAAAATCTTCTCATGCTGCGTCTCTTGTGCATACTGAAAAAAAAAGAGAAGCAAAACGGAAATTAAGCACAGAGAAATTGCGAAATTAGTTTGTTTGATCTGAAAATAATTTCGGATATTTGTTTTAAACGAGCTTTTGATTGTGCTCGACTACTTGAAAATGAAGGCAAATTTCAATAAGAAGACACAGGCTCTCCGCAGCATTCTGCATTGTTTTGACATTTTTCTTTATTCTTAGCGCTCTGTATTCCATCGAATTCCTGAGTATATGCGCTGCATCAGATCCATACACTCACACAGAACGTAGTCGTTGCATTCATTACAAATAAGGAAAGGACGTGGTTTACACTAGTTTTCAACGGGAACCGGATAGAAGCGTAGATTTTACCATTTAAATTCTACTGATGGCCTCACAACAATTCGGTGGGATTTTCATTTTGGTATTTCATTTCGAGTGAAAGCAAACATTCATTAAGCTTGCATTTCATCAGAAGAAATGACGTCAATAAAATGAGAAACCGAAAAAAAAACACACACACACAACACAAATAACCATACAAACAATGCACATTGAACAAGGAAAAAGGAAAAAAAACGGTGAGCATTGAGCATTCAAACCACCATCCAATTTTGTGAATATAACTGTCAATGTCAGCATTTGCATGTCGGTGTCGGGCAAAAATAAACACAGTATTCCGAAGCACAAATTATAACTGACAATCCACATAAATATTGTAAAATGCTTCACAGTTGTTCGCTGTCTTCGATGCAATTCATCCATAAACGCGATGTTTTTCCTCCACTAAATGTATTCCTTCCCTGCTCTTTTGTCTATCATGATATTTTCTCTTCATTTTTTTTTTTTCATTTTTATGGCATATTGTTGAAGCTGCTGTTTTGCTCATGACAATTGTTCATCGCATCGAATAATATCTGAGTGCATGCCTTTTTTTGAGCCCGTCATTCATTCATTGTTTTTATTTCCATCGCATAAATCATCTTTCACATTTATATGATTGTAATTCCATCTGTCGCTCTCTTTTATTGTTGCCATTACTTTTAGCATTATTTTCAGCATTCGAATAAACCGTACAACAGTTCCGGGTGTTGATGTATATGTTTGTTTGTTACGCTGGCTGTGTGAATAAAGTTTGTGTGCACACAAATAGAAAAAAAAGTGGTCAAGTGCAATAAGGCATACTTCATATGAAAGTGTGGTAAACATTGTTGCTGCCACTCGTCGTTTGTTTGTTTTTTTGGGCCGATTTTTGTATCGAGTTAAAATTGTGAGTGCGGCCATAATGCATATTTTATTATCATTTTATGTTAATTCATGCGAACTGTACAGGCCATAACGATATTTGCAACAACAACAAATCAACAACCAGTAAACCGACTGCATATTTAATATTGTGAGCAGCACATTTTTGTTTCCATATTCATTTAGTGGTGCATAGGATTGGTTCTCTTGTCGAGCGAAGGAGAAAAAACACTAGCAAACCAACATCTAAAGCAGGCTTGCATATGAAAATTGTCGAATTTTCTTCTTCACTTGCATTGGAAAAAAAAGGAGTGGGACAATGCCGTCACTTGCTAAATGAAATTAATGGCGTCGACTGATGATGACAGCTGACCTCGATGCTCAAACCACCAACAGTCGTACACAGCACCGTTTTTTTCCGGCTGGCATGAAATGATGAAGTTTTGAATTTTATAAACATTTCATGAGATTTTATTGTTTATTTTGTTTTGCTTTGTTTGGCTGTTTGTTACGGTTTTTTTGGTAACCAAATAGACAGAAACAAGAGCTTCGCTATGATGGATTTTTTCAATTAAACACAAACCTTTTTGACAATATTGCACTATGACGAAAGAGTGAACCACAAAAATGCTCGGCTCGTTGTGCAATCATATTTTTTTTTGTTCTGTTGAAAACACATCTGAACTCACCAAATTAAACCGCAAACGCAATGCGCGCTGCATTCATACTGTAAATATCGACGAGACATAATGACTTCCGAATTCTGTTTCAAACCTTCTTCAGTACGATTGAAGGGAAGCAGGCAAAATCTCATTTAAAGTTTGAAAAGCATCTCTTTTGTGTGAAGCATTGCTTTTGTTTACCAGTCGTGCAGAAGTTTACTCCACACAACCTGATTTCCAACGAAAAATCATACTGGAATAAACAGGATTAGTGTTAATTACATCAATTCCAAAAGGAAAGTTCGCTTTTCCGGAATATACACATTTCCCTCGTTAAAAAGGATTGGATTTAGATTGAATATATGTAAAAAAAGCCAAACTGTGAGTACAAAAATTATTTCCGACAAAATGATACATCTCACAAGATATTATTTTGATCAGTTGTATGATTCAATACAACACATTATAACCGAACTCATTCGAGAGAGAGTAATATTTCTCAGTATTGAATGCTTCCGTTATGAGCTAATATTATTTTTTTGCTGTCACACACATTTTAATAGCATCGGATGGAATTATATTGGCAATTCACATAAAACTGCCTGTTACATATTTACGAATATTATATACAGTTGAACACGCTCCAAATTTGCACCACTCACTCACACATACGCTGTGTGCTAGAATGTAAAAAAACTGTTGAACGTTGCACGTTAATATGATAAATATGCATTTATCACGTTATGCAAAGCAAAAGAGGAGCATGGAGTAGCATAGAAATTTTGCAATATTCGAATGAATAATGGAGTGTTTTGTAGTTCGGCACACCGGATAATTGTTTGATGGTTGCCTTGGCAAACGAGCGGCAGCATCGATTTATATCACATGCATTCCAGATGTGTTGCGCACAGCATAGCAAAGCGTGTAACCATTGCACGCTTTTTTCTCTGCAAAATGTTCACTCAAACGCTTCCTTGGTTGCATTAACTGTGATGGGTTCCTCTAAATGAGATGCCAAAACATCAAGCTCAAAATCAAACATTTTGACTTTGCATAATTTTAGGCAATTTATTAAGTACACTTTGTGTACAACACAGTACATTAACATTAGATAACTATATATAACTATATATATATATATATATATAATGTGTAAGTTCAAGGCTTCATTGCCATATAACTCAAGCCGCACTTATGCTTTTGAAATTTTGAGCGAATCGAAAAATGTAACATTCCAGAGGACGCATGCACTCAACTGTGTCAGTTACAATCCCAAGAGAAACGGCCAATATGTTTATACGCTGTCTATCCGCCGAAAATACACTACAATATATATTCACGCTTATTGGACGCCGAATTGAATATATATTCTAGTGTATATTCGGTGTATTCTTCAGCGTGAAACATATTGAATCAACGAATGCATTCATAGCCACCAGAGGGCGCCTGAATATGTTTCAATATGTTTCATGCCGAAGAATACGCCGAATAAACACTAGAATATATATTCAATTCGGCGTTCAATAAGCGTGAATATATATTGTAGTGCATTTTCGGCGGATAGACAGCGTATAAACATATTGGCCGTTTCTCTTGGGATATGAATCGCAAAGAGCAAAAATAGTTCTTTTCACATGTGATGCATACATTTTCACCCATTTTTATTCAAGATTTCCTCTGTCCTGAATTTGTCACTTTAAATATTCCATACATTCCAGGCAGCACAAAAAAATGGACCAGTTTATTTCGTTCGGTCAGAGTGTTGCAAAAAAAAAAAATACAATTTGAAAATTCGTTTGGTGAAAAAATATCTTAGAAATCTGTTCGGAATGCAGGACAATATATAAAATTGCAAACTGTATACAATTCGTGTGCATTCCGAGTAAAGGAGCAATGCTTTCAAGAGGAAAAATATTCGAGTGAATTTTCTCGGTAAATTCTAATTTTTGTGCTTTCTTCCGTACCACTGAAATTTTGTGTATGTGTAAGCTATTTCTCAATTTATGCAGTCGGAGAAAACAACCTGAAAAAGTTTCGTTCCTCGATTGCCAAAAAAGATGATAATTTCAAGTAAATTATTTGACCCAGTTCGTATCTAGTAATTTACTTTCGCTTCGACTGATGCACACTTGCATCCCTAATCTTTTAAATAATATTTAACAGTTTGATTTTAAAAGCCCGCAAATTTCCATCGTACTTTTCGAAGTTAAAGCTCAAATTTTGGGCATAAACCATTCGTTAATTGCAATTGTGGCCAGGAATTCCATCGAAATATTGGTCTTGAGGAAATGTTTACGTTACAAATGAAAGGAAGCGGAATCAAAACAAGTATTTTTCACTTTTTACACATCTACATAGTATATCTCTAAATAAATATATACATAATCTTCCGGTTATGCTTCTACGCAACTTTAAAGCAATCATTTCAACGAGAAAAGTTTCAACTTTACTCGACTCGTGTTTACTGTGAAAATTAAAACATATAATGGGAGACAAAATTGCTCTGAACTGTAAACACTAGACGGAATCGTAGCACAAAAAGCGACCCTTAATGGATACCGTATCGCATCCAACCGACAACACATTGAGATATAACAGCTAGAACAAATAAAACATGACATAGATACTGGGTGAATATATCCACACACACACACATGCTGTCACACTCGACATCCTGGTCAATTTGATATGTCTTCAAGTGGGCCAATGAACAGTACAATGTATGTGTTTATTTTATAGAATAAAATGTGTCTCTATTTAATAAGGAAAAATAAAGGGTTGCATCCTCCAAACCATTCACAACATAACGAGTTTTATCTTTTTTTTCTAATGATTCTTCAACTGATGCCGGATTTGCCTAGGTTTCACAGTGTTAACGCACCGTGCGTTTCATTTTTCTCACTCTGTTAATAGAGTTCGGTTTTGGTGTTGGTTCTAAGAGTTCACGTGACATCAGTTCAACTTGTTTGTACGGTTACATAGTGGAACACTAGCGCATACTCATACACTTTGAAAGACATTCGTAAATTGGATATGGAATTATAGCTAATACCCAAAAAATCCATCTGATGTAGAATTTGTACCGAATTTTGATGATGACGACGATGACGACGATGACGACGATGACGACGATGACGACGACGATGACGACGACGACGACAATACCATTCCGTATGGCGTATGATATGAGGATTTAAATAGGAACGTAGCGTGATTCGAAGAAAAGGTAAAGTATCACCAGATGCGTTTACCTTCGATTTTAGTTTAGTCATGCAATTCCCAACGCACAATTCATTGAGAGACTACGCTCTTATTGTGCCCCTACGACAATTCAACCACAAATTAATTGAGATGAGATTGTTATGGAATCCAATGCTTTTGCCGTTCACCACAAACATTCGTTCAGTTCGAGTAGTTTAATTTTGCATGGAAATTTTACCAACACCACAGCTTTGTCAGACGACTCAGAGAATGCTTGAGATGAAAAATCTGTGCTCTATTTCGGTTTTTTTTTTTCAGGTGCTTTCAAGAGTGGTTGGAAAAATTAAAATTTAATTTTATGCAAGTCACATGTCACATCCAAACGTGCACACCATATTCATAATGAATGTACCGACGACCTCTCAACCAAAAATTGAATCTTCAACATCATCGCACGGTTACGCTTCATGAAAAGAAAGTTTTTAATTCATTTTAAATGTAAATGATGGCTACCATCACTCTACGGCAAAGAAAAGCATTTGAAAAATCAAAACTTTGCCACAAGTAAAACAATGCAAAATTGATTCGAAGAGAGATTCCCGCAAAATTTGTTGAAAAATTGTTTGCGGATGCAACTTTACCTTGCTACAAACACACATACTCTCTTTCTCTTCCATTTTATGTTGAAACTATTTCCAGCGATGGGATAATCTTTTGACAATGTGAAAATGTAAGTGTGTGTGTGTGTGTGGTGGGCGGGAAGAAGAGAGTTGGTTGATGTGGAATGAGAAGACAACAGCGAATATCACGTAAGCAACCGAAAATACCTCGAGGATAATAGACCGGTAAAACTCTCTCAGTGTATCAAAGAGAAATACCTTGGAAATGCGTTATTGGAAAAAGTTTTTGTTATTCCACATATGAAAATTAATTTGGTTTGGGCGTTTGGTTTCATGTTGCCAAAACACAAAACTACAGAAAGTATGTTCCACTTTAAAGATGTGTTGAAACACACACTGATTCTGTGCAAACCGTTCACTTAATGAAATTACTTTTTCCTCTGTGTATCGCCTGCATTTTGCTTAGTGAGCGTGCTGCATACAACACATTTTCAACGGTAAAATTGATTGCGGATATTGAGGATTAAATACTTTCACGAAAAGGCTTCACACAGAATTCACACGTTGCGTTCGAAACTTTGTTTCTTTGGGAGCAACTTCCGAAAAGTATCATTTGATAGATCAGTGATATTAGATTTCGAATGTGTTTCTCTCTAAATACCAACAGCTTAGAGTTTATGTCAAAAATCGTTATGGTTAACGCTAACGTTACGTCTAATTCATAAGCCTCGCAAGAAGCTTTCAAAAGCACAATGTAAACCATGTTTGAAATATATAACGGCTGTGAAAAAACAGAAAACACTTACCGCAACCATGTCGCTGATAGCAGTTTCAGCTTTGGATCCCAACATGACGGAGCCCATGGCAATACCGGCCGCTTCACCAGTTACAGCATCATCTTGGTACAAATTGAATTTCAATTGTTCGTAAATGTCCGAGCGATGAGTGCCCATGGCGGCGAGACCCAATCCAAGACAGCCACCATGACGAACATTCTCATTTTGGGCTTCTTTCAACTGAGCCATCAAGTATTCGATGATGTTTGCACCATGATTGGCGTGAATTAATCCAAGAGCATACAAACCGCCACCTTCGGAGTATCCGCTGCTTGGTCCGCTCTCCTTGGGCAAGTAGCTTTGCATAAGTGCCAACGATTCATTCTCGTGTCCACGATGGATGACACCTAACGATGCGGTTGCCGTTAATTTGGCCCAGTTTGTTGCGCGAGCCAACCACTCCAAATTGTCACGAAGGAACTGATCACTTGTTGTTCCACTGTGCATGAATGCATTAGCAATCACCGTTGCTGTATGACAGATTGACACACGAACGGCCTCTTTTGTCGAACGCAGAATTTGCAAATCGGCATGATTGCTGCGAATCAAGAATTGCAGTTGCAAATCGATCGAAATCTCACCCGATAAAATTTGAATGAGTTTCTCAATGTTCTCTTGATGCGTTTTCTCGGATGCGGACAAACTCTCAATATCACGCTCTGGAACATCGTCTTCTGACTTTGTCTCACTCTCATCGGCTTCTTTTCGCTCTTCATCCGATTCTTTCTTGTCTTCTCTTTGTTCCGTACCTTGTGGTTTGTAGGTTGAAGCTAGCTTCGATGGGATGGGTGCCGTTGAGCGCAATGCTTGCAAAACTTGGCCCAAAAACTGCTGTGTGGCCGATTCATACAAATCAAATGCGATTTGATAGCCCATGAGCACGTCCAAGTCGTTGCTGGTGGTGAGTTTATCCAAGATTTCGGCTACGGCCAATGGATCTTCCAAGAAAATCAAGCATTGCACCATGTTGACGTAATCGGGTACGGCCAAACTACGGTACAATTTCACTAAGCATCGCAAAACGGTGTTACGGAATGAACGATTTTGAATGAGGCTCATTGTAACTTGGAATGCATAAGCCAACATTGCGTTGATGTCATCGGATCGTGAGATGGCGGACTCGAAAATATCCATGCGACGAGTTTCCAATGCAATACCCAAAGCTTGACGATATTGTCCGTCGTCCAAACAACGCTGAATCATACGGTTTACAATAGCTTCGAGACGAGCATCGATTGGCTTGGCCTCATTTGGTGAATCAATGAGAGCAACACGTTGCTGGATATAGAAATCAATGCACTTGGCAATGATGGTCTCAACGTACTCGCTGCGAGCGTTGACATCGAACAAATCACCAGCACCCAGAGCATAGGTCAATGCATCTTCGAATGAACCCAGATGATAGAATACCTTCGATGCAACCAAACCGGCCAAATTGCTATGGGCAAATCCCTTGTCCTCATGCAACATTTCGCTGAAAATTCATTTTTTTCACATTATTCATTGTTCGGAATTAGTGTGACCAACTTTGTCGATCATTGTGAAATAATTGTTTGCTTACATTTTTTCAATGGATTCGGAAATTTCCGGCCAGAATTCATTGACGATGTTGTCCAGTTTGCGCAAGGCAAAAATCTTCAATTCCGGCATCGGCTCGTCCAAAAGGGCAATAACGCCGGCTGAAATGCAAGACAAATTTCATTGTGATCAATACGAAAAAAAATCGCATCACTTAACCTCAACGATAGATGATAGTGACACAGCAAAATGAATATACAAACTAACTCTAGCCATTAAAATTTATTTCATAAAATTACCTGCTGAAGTAATGTTCATTTTCACCATTTTTCTCGATTTTTTTACCAACTCTCAATTTGATAAACTAATTTTTTCAGACAAACTTTCTTAAATTTTTCAATCAATTTTTTATTTGCTTTGATAAGTCGACTGTAAGTTTATTCACTCTCCGCTTACAACACAGAACTGATTTGTCATCGTATAAGCAACATTTGACATTCGTATGAAACCGGAGCCGAGCGGAGAGTGCGTTCAATGACACTGCTTGAATCAATGTATTCAAATAGGAACAACTTTATTGTTGTAAATGGAATTATTTTAAATGTAGAAGCAAAATACGAAGATAACAATTATTTAATGAATAAAATGAAATAAAAAACACGCACAATATGTGTAATGAGTTTGTGTCGGATTTTTTTCCCACTGCTATGTCAATTGATAGAGAAAATGTCTCCAAAACCAATATGTTTACTCATCAACAATTTTGATTGATTAAATTCACTGTTTTTAAATTTAAATGAAGTGGAAAAGAAAAATGTTCAAAATTCGAAAAAAAGTGGTCAAAAGTGCATTCAACAGTCAATCATTTTGTATCCTCAGTAGCATAGGGTAGCATTCCTGCTTCAAATGATGATCATCCATTGGCACATCAAACCAGAGAACTGTGAAAGCAAAGACCACTCAATGAACATCGATTATTCAGCGCATTTATACGTTGTGTGCGAGATTCGATGGCATGCGAATCATAAACAAGTGCAAATTGAAATACCAATACCACAACAGTTGTCACCAAGCATTGTTTGTATATATTGCCTTTGTTGTCGCTCTCTCTCTCTCTCTGTCTATCTTTCATCATCATGTAGACGACGTGAAGTTGGAACAAAGCAAACAGTTCTGTTTGTTATAATTCGCTAAACAAGAAATTTACAATATTTATGTATAAAAGCGGTACTGATTCAATACATTTGGTGGTCGTTGCTTTCATAATTTGAATGGTTTGATGTACCAGAATTCATCATATGTCATGCAAATCGCGTGACGCGAGAATCCTACCCTAGACCAAATGAGCATTTTATTCCATTTATGAAAGCGAATGTGACCACCTTTTTTTCTAAGAAAAACATGTTCATGAATAAAATACACGAAGCCTGTTCTGTGGCAGTTCTACACTGAGCTTTTTCAGTATGTTTTCGATAAATTAACTATTTGGTACTGCATAAAATGTAATAATGGCCTAAATCTTCTGCAAAATGTTTTTTGAATCGGCATCGGGTTTAAAATGATCTAATCTGTGGACAAATGCACACCAAAATAAACTTACATGCAAACTTTGAATATATGCCTGGAAATTATAGAAAAAAATCGAGCAAATCCATCGAGCTCAACATTTCAACAAGTTTTTTCTTTTAAAATTCTTAATCATTTATTTTTCATTCGCACTTATTTTAACAGAAAAATTAATATTTCGCTCGATTATAAAAATTATATTTTACTTCTTATTTTTCGTATTCTTGGACAGCATGTTCAAGAATCGCTTGTTTGCCTTGTTATTTTTGCCCTGTAGAATGGAAGAAAGAACATTAAAGTATTTTGGAATTTATTCCATCAAAGCCAAATTAAGCCGAAAACTAACCTTTCCGTGGAATTTCATTTTGATTTCGTTCTTCTGCTCTACAATCGAACCACCACCGAACTTCTTAAAATCAACGCTCGAATAGTCAAAATCGGGCCCTTTGCTTTCCGGAGAATTCTGTTGTGGTGTTTTGTTTTTATTCTTGTTTTTATTTTTGTTTTTCTTCGATGGTGTCTTGGCATTTGTTTTTTCCAAGGTTGACTTGGGTTCGGTTTGATCCATAATCCTCCGGATTTGGCTTAATTTAGCGTCGATCGGATCTTCGGCTTCAGCATCGACTCGACGTTTCTTCGCTGGTGGTGCTGTGCTAGGTGAAGATGGTTCGACTTTGGGTTTCTTATCCAAATCTCTTAATGGTCCTCGGTGCACCTCCTCTTCAGCATTCACAACCGATTTTTGTGGCTTTGGAGTCTATTTTGGGAGGAAGAAGAACAATTCAATGCATTTTTTTCCATTGAATATACAATCTTGAAGAATAATCATATGAATCAACTTACATCGATGATACTATCAGGGCATAGTTTACGTTTGCGATTTTCTTCGGCTTTTCGGGCTGTTTCAGCCAAGCGTTCCTGTTCAGCAAATGGTAAAACGGCCAAGTAACGTGAATACGGACTGAAAAATTTAACCTGTGTACCATTGACCGTTTTCTTTTCGATGCGGCTTGACGTATGGAATACATTGATTGTTGGTCCGTTGAGTTTGAGTTTGTTGAGCACCGATTCGGGCAGAATATTCAATGAATCGTTATTACCAAGTAATGTTGGTAAGTCGTCACGAAAATCGGTGCTACCGGTCAAATCATGCGGACAATATAAGTGACTGTTTACATCTTGATTTTTGCTTAAGATCGTTGATCGATTGATCGCTTGATCATCGAGAACAATCTGAAAATGATGAAGAAAAAATTGTAAAATAGACGAAGTTGTAGAAGAAATGAATTCGTTATTCGAATTGAAAAACTCACTTTGGTCAACGGTTGTTCACGTGCTTGTAAAATGAATCGATGCAAAACGTGCAA